TTGTAAATTAATATCAATATATCTCATCCAAAAATATCATATGCTGAACAAAGAAGGCTGAACAAAGTGAAGGAACAGTTCATTTATAAAAATATATGATGTCTATAAAAACAGCCAGAGTCTTTGTGCTTTATTCTATGTCTCCTACTACACCTGGAGCACCCTCTCCAAACTAATCCATAAAGCTGCTCCTACCACTCCTCCTCAAGACCCACTTCTACCACGATGCCTACAGAGAAGTGACAATGGCTAGACAGAAGGTCTGTGGGGATTGCTGGCACTTATTTCAAAACAATTCTGATGATTCAGAACCCATCAAGTTATTCAGACGTATAACTTATGTAAATGTGTGACCATACAACTGTTATCCTTTCCCCTTCCCTGTTCCGCCCCCGCCCTTCCCCACCCCTCCACCCCCACTTACTAGCTACACCTTGTCTTATATTAGAGTATTTATCTTCAGGACAGGGTCTGTGTCATCCTGTATAACAGTGCCTAGTGCAATGGGGCCCTGACTTCGATTCCGGTCCTTGGCTGCTACCATAATACAAATGATAAATAATAACAATTAGATAAGTGTTGCCAGTTGAAATGTTCAAGTTGGTCATTTAAGGACTAAGTTGGTCCCTGCTCCCTAATCCAGGGTTCTCGTGTGGATTTATGAACCATGCAAGGAAGAGAGGTCCCTAAATTTACCTTACTTAACTTGGCAATTGTGATGTTTTCTAACATGGATGTTTTTATAGATGCCGGCAATGGGAGCTGAGGTGCTTGGCATCTCACGGGATCAGGACTAATTACCTACAGGAGGGGTCCCATATTTTCCTCTGAATGCAACAGAAACATATTTGATATTAGAAGGAAATAATAATTACAAGGAATTACAATTTAAAAATACAAATATAGGGGATAAGATGTTCAAATGTAATGTTCCCTGGTTCATACCAAAACCTATATAGACCCCAAATTTCATGTAAATCAGATTTTTAATCTACTGGGATTTGCTTCTTCAATAAAAATTAGAAGTTGAACAACAAGAATTTTCCTAGATTTTTACTATATATTTCTCCCTAAACAAGGTATCGGATTTCTTATAAGTGAGATGAGAGAAATTCCCTGTCCAGTTGGCTCTTGTATAGATAGTAACAGGTATGTTTCTCTAACTTGGCTCCAGTGACTCAGTTTCCATGTTCTGTATGGTCAGCATCTAAATGTATTCTGTACAATCAAAATGGCTTACACAAAGTACAGTAGGGTGGCCCATGTTGTACCAGTATCCAAAATGGTGTTTGTCACAGGAAGGTACAGTCTGACTTTTGAAGTTTGACGTCATGCAAAGTTCTAAGTGATAAAAGGAAAAACTCTGAATTAAAAGAAAAAAACAAGGATATGTACAGAACCAAAAATATGATCTTTGGGTAGATTAATGTACACATTTCAATCCATAGCTGAATAGTTCAGTGTTACCTGTTTTATTTATTTTTTTAAAATTTGTGGTGATTCACGACGCTTACAATATATTGTATATGCCAGCTAAGAACATATTCAAACACGGGAACAAAATGTTCATGTGTGCGCGCATGAAAATACCTGGATTTATACAGTCAAATGGGTGGTTAGGTGCACAGTTCACTGGTTGTGTGCCCAATTCAGGGTATTTGAAGAACTCGTGCACACATACAGACACCACATGCACTGATCAACTGGTCAAGTATGTTATGTTTTGGTTTTCTACCTTCATCTGAGGCATCCATTATTGGCCACTGCCAGAGGCATGATATCAGACTGGACAGATCAATGCTCCAGTATCACAATTCTTATGTCCCTATGTATTTGAAGCAGATATAAAACTTTGAACAGTCTACACAAATGCCACTAAATCCTTTTACATAGCTTTAAAAGAAATTTCACTACACAAATTACTAAGGTGTAGTTTATTGATATTAACCAGGTGGCAACAGGTGTAAACACATGGCAATTTTGTACTATTTTAATGTTCCAGATCTCTGTTTCCTGTTGTCCTTTTCCCACTATTTGTTGATTCTACACCAAGGACTGGCATTAAACTGCTAAGAAGCACCAATATTGAGAATAGTGTATGAAACAATGTGTGTGTATATTGAAATATATGCATATAAAATACCTAGACATTTAATTAATGGCACTCAGTAAAAATGTTTAAAAATACTCTATGACCAATTTTGTTTTAAATGAAAAGCAGAAGCATTAGTAGAACACCATATGTATCAGTTATTTTCTCACAGTATCCATTTATTTCCACATCACTAATATCTTTCCATATTTATTTCTGGGAGATATAAATCTACTCAGACTTACTGAATCATTTACAAGATACAGTGTATCAAAGCCTGAGGGCTACCAAGCAATTTTCTTATCTTCTTGCTTACCTATAGGTATGTGATTCTGTCTAACAAGCTGCACAAGATCCTCTGAACCTGTTGTAGAGTTGAGAAATGTACCATGTCCAATTCTGTCTGGAGGCAAACCAAGGAGAATTTTGGTCTCCTCTTCTTTATTTGGGATCTAAAACAGAATACACCCCCCACGCACAGAGTCTGTAACGGCACCATAATGCAGCTGAATAATCAAAGTTATACATCAGCCCCAGATCAGATCTGGGTTCTAGGTTTTTTGTATTTGTATATCTTATCAACAAAGAAAATGAGAAATAAGTGTGTGTGTTAATTAGTGTTAATTATTATGCTTTGGAGAAGGAAGAGATGCAGGAACTGGAAGATGGAAGTGCACTCATTGGAAAGCAGATAAAAGGACAGATCACATTAGTTATTTGCACTTCTGAAATACTTTTGATTGGAGGACCTCAATTAGCTTTACAAACCTTAATGAAATAAGCCTCAACTAGGAAGGTTACAATTATCTCCAATGTACAAATGGATAAACTGACTGCAGATCAGAGAAGTTACACAATAAGACAGAGGCAGAAAGAAGAAGGTGAGGCACTTGGAAGTACATTTTCAAAGCACTGCACAAGAGTTCCATGCAAAAAACTCATTAATAATATCAGCCTTCATTTCCTAAAGGCACTATTTCTTTCAGAAATTAGAAGGTTTTCATTATTCATCAGGCCTGCTAAATCAAACTCTAGGTGGATCTTCAATGTTAGAGATCATACTCCAAATTCTCCTCATCTCACATACACAAACAAAGCTAAAGAAGTTGACAGAACTATTCATGTGAGTAAAACAGGTACATAAGATCTACTATATGATATTCCAGATATCATTCAGGTGTGGGGGTAATGGATCAGTCAATGTATGTGTAAACTTCAAATTAATACTTATACTTCTGAAATATATAATACAATAAATTACAGCCAACAGTTCCTCCAGTAATCCTTAATGAGCAAGGCTTAGTCATGCTCTTGAATCAGGGTTTTCCCTATGATACTGAGGTCCTATTTGTTTCCATAATTTAATAAATCATGTAAGGACCTTGCAGATTTTAAGGCAGGGTATGTTATGTTACTGGTATTCCTTCTGTGGTTCTCAACATTTATTGTATTATATCATTTACTGTATTGATCTATCCAAAATTAATACAAAATTCAAAACTGACAATAGCACCATTGAAACATTTCTTGTGACATCAGAAATCACAGGAGTGGGGCCTGCATGGTTCTCTGGTGGACTGTAACATCCCTAGAAAGGTAGGAGAGATTTAGTCAAGGTTTCTTGATTAAGTTGGGTAGGTGGTTGGTTTTTGGTTCTTTTAGGGTTTTTTCCCTTCAAAATACATATATATGCGTGTTTACTTTAAATTTCTCTTTCCTAACCCCATCTCTTCAAAATGCCACAAACTAGCATTACTTCGGCCTAAAAAACTGAAAATCCACAGATGTTACTTTTAGTTACAGTAAGTTTTTATTTAAAGGCGGCTGCAGAAAAAGGTTAGCACAAACATTAAGAATTTACCTCTGAAAGATGCAATGCCAGTTTCAGACCTGCCTTTTTCGCTTCGAAAAGTGGTTCAAAAAAATCTTTGCCATGTCCTGCCTTGAAGAAAAATCCAAACAAAAATGCATGATTAATCAGGAGGTATTTTTTATTAAAACCTTTCCAATTATACAATCATGATGAAGTTTCAGAATATTAATATAATTCATTCAAAAGCAGTTAATTTTAATATTTTTTATTTTGCTATCATAGTGAATCAATATTTTTCACTTCAATTTGAGAACTATATTCTTCAACCTCTTTTCTTTTCTTTATAACAGCAGCATATTAGGTGCTTGTATTTTATGTCTACATGACCCCGCAGTTCAGACTATGGGATGTGAACTGCAATGCACACTGCCATGTTGCACTGTAACCCACCAGTGCTGATGGTGCAAACTAAAAGACACCTACTGCAATTCACACCCCCATAGACCAAACTGTGGGGCCTTGTAAACCAGCTTTAGTTCTCATTTTGTGTCTATTCTCAGTATTACTCAATATGCCTCAACCTCAATCAATCTGATACAATCAGAGCAATGTAGTAGTGGATGCTTTCCTGGGCTCAGAAGTTGCTTTTAAGTTCCCTTTTTTGATAGTTGTGTATCATTTTGTACATTTTAAATTTTTTGTTAGAGACAAGAGATGTTATCTTCACAACATGAATATGAGCAAGACATTTAACCAACAGCCAGCAAGTTTACTAACTATATAATGGAAACAGTGAAACTGACTACAAACTAAGTGCTAATAAATGTACAAGTAAACAGTGAGATAATAAAGAGAAATGTATTTCCCTAATTCTTTTCAGTTCAGCAAATGTTACTAGTAACAACACATCAGTGTGTTTATTTTAGTTGATGGTGTCCTTTACCTAAAGGGCAGTTGTTAAGAACCAAAACAACTTTCTGTCCAATCCCCTCAACTCCTTCATACATTCCGAAGTCAAGTAAAATGACTAAAAATAGGAAGATAGGATTTGCCAGGCAAGAGCCATCATTCCAAGTACTACTTTGACTACTACTACCTGTTCTTCTGTCTTTAGATCGTGTGCCTTCTTTTATGTTTGAAAAACACCTTATACAACATTGTTGGTACTATTTAAAAGAAATTATATAATAATAATAGCAACAACATATTCTGCCTTCAGTGTTGGCCAATATCTGGTACTTCAGATAAAGGCAAAAGCACTCCAAAATGCATCTATACCCATTTATATAATGTTTTAGATGGGGGAAAATAGTCGTTCCTAACCCTTGCCATGAACAGTTAATGCCCCCAAAGGAAAATTATCCAAAGCACTAAGAGTAAAAATAAAATTTGATACTATAATCATTACAACGATAAAAGTATCCATCTTCAAGTAAAGTAACTTACGGTGGGATCACCACTGAGGTCAAGTCCTACCACAATCCCATCGGTGGAAAGGAGGAACTCTTCAGCAAGTTTAACAGTTTGCTTTGCCACGATAGGTCCACCTCTTCTATCTATTGCTATTAAAAACCTAGAATAGAGATGTACATCTTACATTAAATCACCAAACAGGTGATTGACAAAGAAACAATTTATTACCAGCAAAAGCAACACTGCACTCATAACTTAAATAGAAATTGCTTCTTTTGTCACAACTGTTACTGTAAAGCTCTGATGGCAAGTAACAGGGTAATTAGGCATGTATAGAGAAGCACACAACAATACCAGTGCACCGTGTTGTTATCACAGTGGCTAAATGACACATCTCTAATGCTCACATGCATACCCACTTTAATTCCAGCATTACATTCATGGCATCTCCCTTCCAGCCATACTGGCTCCACTCTAGAGGCAAAAATGTAATACTGAAACAAAGGATTGGGCTTATATAGCTGAACATAAGGAGCTGGAACTCAACCCTCACTTGGGATAAACTGATTTTCTTTCAATAATTTTATTAGTATGGTTTGGTTCTTCCTTTTTCATAAAACCAAAACAACTTTTTCCAGGCCCTGGGAAAGGAAAGATCAGGTAAGCTACATCTCCAGAGAAGGACCTCTAAATATTTCTTAAAAAACATACATCATCTCACACAAGACACAGCAAAGAGTTCTCCTGTCCTCTGGACAGGCACCATCCTTCCAACCACTGCCTATACTGGCATCATGTCCCCGTCTGGCTACTAGCCCCTGCACACCAAAGTTCTGACTTTCATATATCAACTCTTTCTCTGAAGCTACTACCAATGCTGTTTTCTGGATTAGCCAGCAAGACCTGCCAGCTCAGACAATTCAGCCCCTCCCTTCCACAAAGATCTTCGAATTTGACCTCTGCAACACCCTACATCTCAGGCACAGGCAGAAGATATTAAAGCCAATCCATAAGGTACTAAGGAACCTCCTAACTGGCTGTACAAAAGCGGACAACTGTGACATAGCAATATACTGTTATGATGTAATGTATACAAATGATACATGTATCTTAATTCACATTTATACCTAGTTCGTTATTATTACACCTCTACTATTAAAAGGTGCAATATATTTTGCCACATAAAACAAAAAAACTTTATGGTCCAAATTTTCAAAGGCAACATGTAGCAAACAGAAAAACATATTTGAATTTTGGAGTGCAAAAAGTTAACTGTGTTCACACATAAGTGACCCTGTGGGGGATGCAATTACCCATTCAGGCTGCACAGTGTGGATTTCTGAAGGTGCACCACTGCAACCCTCTTTGAAAAGGTAGCCCTATATCTTATATAGTTTACAGAAGGCCCACGAAAGAGGTCAAGAACTAAGGACAACTTTTCAGAGCATATTTTAAATCTGTATTATTAGTTTCTTGCAAAAAATAATTTTATAGCTCCCACAGAGGAAAGCCGGATCCCTAACTAGTGGCTGTTTATCTTCTTTGGGTTTCACACCATTTAGTTATCAAGTTTCCGACTTACAAACAATTATGAGAGGTTTTAATAAACTCATTTTGTTATTGGTTCACATCTTTTGACTTTCTCTTTGATTTTTCAATTCTCAAAAACAAGTGAAACTCAGAAGAAAATTGTACATGGTAACCAGTGCTCCTGCATACAGCTACACAGGTGCTGTCTGTGCAATGTGTGCTTTTTTTTCCCTACATCAACTTCACTGGGGTGGGTTGGTCATTTTAAAATAACTTAAACTTCTTTAAAATTGTCCAATATATTTGTAGTTTTTATTTGTTTATGGTTAGTAGTTTTGTGTTTGTTGATTTTTTGTTTGTTTTAAAGAGGAACAAAACTGCCCAAGGTTTGTGCATGATAAAAGTCTGACAGGCCATTTCACGGTAAAAGCAGCTTTCCTAGAGGATCAAAGTAAGCATGTTAGTAAAACAACAGTTCAATGTTCAGTAATTAGCCAAACAAACAGTCAATGGCTGCAGCACTCTCATTGTGATTACTGTATTATTTCAAAGAAAATCATTAAGGGTACGTCTATACCCAGCCGCTAGTTTGGCGGCTGGAAATCGAACTTCTGGGTTCGACTTATTGCGTCTTGTCTGGACACGATAAGTCAAACCAGGAAGTGCTCGCCGTCGACTGCGGTACTCCAGCTAGACGAGAGGAGTACCGCGGAGTCGACGGGGGAGCCTGCCTGCCGCGTGTGGACCGAGGTAAGTTCGAACTAAGGTACTTCGAACTTCAGCTACGTTATTCACGTAGCTGAAGTTGCGTACCTTAGTTCGAATTGGGGGGTAAGTGTAGACCAAGCCTAAAATTCCATAACAGCGGGGAAGACACATATTATATCTATATTGGTGATTATTAGGTTCACTTTTGATAGCTGGTTTAAAATTCAAGTTTATATTATCTGTTAAATTACTAACAGAAACTGTAGTGTCTTTCTAAGGCCTGATCTACACACAGTCATTGTACCAGTATAACTAATTTGGTAGGGGATTGATTTTTTTAACCAAACTAGTTAAATCAGTACAACCCTTCATCTGGATACAGTTATGCAAGTATAATGGTTCCCTATTCCCCTCCCTATATGAGAATAAGCTATACTGGTATAACTACATCAGTACTGGATGGGGGCAGGGAGGGCAGTACTGCTTTAACTATACCTGTATGGTTAAAGTGATACAACTTTTGTGACAGACAGTTCCTTAGTCTGATATTTCCTGAGGGCACCGCTTTTGCTATAAAACATTGCAGAGAATGGAGACTTTAGAAATCTCAGCCAGTTTTGCTCCCTATTTAGTAAAAGGGATAATAAAATACACGTTTCAATATCTAAATTGCTAGGTTTTGCTAGGTTTTAAGTAAAAAATCATCTGATTTCTACACAAATTCTTCCCCAGCATTCATGATCTGTAAACCTGGGCCAAACACCAGGTTCATAAAAAAATCCCAAATCAGAAGTTTTTCACATGTTATTTTACCTGACATCTATATCCAAATCCTCCTCTTTACACTGTTTTATTCCTTCAAGTACAGCTTCCACGTATGTCCTTTTGGTCATGCCTATAAAACACACACACACACAAGCATATGCACACCTGATCTGAGTAGATATAAGTGGACTGATTATAAAAAGTTACGTTTGATAAAATCCCAGACTGACCATGAAAATATTTTTCATTTTAACTTTTCCGCCCATTTTACTCTTTAATCTTATATTTTATTTGCACTTTGGGATGGTAGTTTAATTTTGCATCTTGATTTTATTCTGTGATTTTACATTTTGTATAGGACTGGTTTTACCAACAAATGTAATTTTACTTTGAAGCCCCCCTTTGGATTTTGTTTGCTCTGAGTTTGTGGAGAAAAGAAAAATAACTTTTCACAAGAATCTAACAGTAGGGTTTCCTGATGCACCACTGAAATATTTGTTTAAAAACAATAAAAAGATTAAGAGAAATAAAAAAGAAAATGTAGCAGCTATTACAAGAAACAAAACTATAATAAGGCTATGTCTCCACTACAGCCTATGTCGCCATAATTTAGGTCGCTCCGGGGTACAAATAAAATACCCCCCCAAGGACGTAAGTTACACCAACATAAGCACTTATGTGCACAGCGCTACGTCAGCGGGAGAGCTTCTCCTGCTCGCAGAGGTGGTTTTATTATTCTATTCGAGCTATCTTGTCGGCATAAGAAATAAGACTAAACTGAATAGCCTAAATTTATCGCTGAATAGTGAAGCTATGACAGGAAAGAATTTAGCTCAATGTGTAATTCCCTCCCCCAACCCCCAAATCTTACTAAAGGAAAATTTTATCCACATTATCACTTTCATTATTCAGTTCACTGCAAATAATTTATAACACTGAACATACATATGTGTGTGTATTTTTTTATTTATATTTTTATATAAATATATGGGTTAGGAAAAAATCATTCCTGGAGCAATTCCACTGGCTTCAATGAAATTACAAGAGGAATTTGTCACTATATGAAAGATTTGATAGTGGGACATTCAATGATTTGTTTCTAAATCTGTCACATTTACTGAAACAACTGAATTTCAAAAGTGACTCCAGCAGTTATTTACATGTCAGTCATAATTCATTTGGTACTTTCCAAAACATATTGTTAATATTAACTTTATAATGTGAGAGGTTCTATAATATAATCCGGAATACTAATTAAAAGACAGAACACTTTGTACCAGTGCCATTTTCCTCTCTAGGTGTGCTCCTTAACTCCAGATACTTGACACCATCGGCAGCAAATTCTTTAATAACATCTTTAGTTACCTGGTTAAAAACAGCATATACAATATTTTGAAATGAAAGATTTATAATTTGTTACACTGGATGACTATTAAAGATAAAAACATGTAAGCTTTCAGTGTAAAACATGGAAATATAGTTACATAACATTAATAGGAGTTATTGTCTAAATCCCATGGTGTTTACATCTCTGTCCAGTTTTATCAGGGTATCGAAGCTGCTCTGGCCAATGGGGATTTCAGTGGCAATGTGCTGAAACAGTACATCCCTCCGCTGCCCTACTGATGGCAATGACCTCTTCCTTGGCAATCCTGACCACTTGGAGGGTTGTATTGGCTGCCTGAAACCCCTTCTGGAGAGGGAAGGTTCACAACCCTTTGCACCACTCCGCACCCCGAGATCTGCTGGTGGGAAAGCCTATCTCCCTCTCTGTGCTGGACTCGGAAGTGAACATAGTACAGCTCTAGTAAGGAACTCTGCATATACACTGAGACAAAGAAGAAGTACACCTCTACCCCGATATAACGCGACCCAATATAACACGAATTTGGATATAACGCGGTAACGCAGTGCTCCGGGGGGGCGGGGCTGCGCACTCCAGCGGATCAAAGCAAGTTCTATATAACGCGGTTTCACCTATAACGCAGTAAGATTTTTTGGCTCCCGAGGACAGCGTTATATTGAGGTAGAGGTGTATTAGGAGACTCTGCTAAATTAAAGCATAGGTAAATATGAATGGATATCACATTCATAAGTGATCATCAGTTCAGTCATCTGAGAGCACAGACTGACTTCCAATATTGGTAGCTCACTGCTCTAAAAGGGAAAAAAAACGAAAATGTCAGTTAGGTAGAATCTGGCATTTCTAAATTCTCACTTTTTACAGAAATATTTTTTACATGCCATTGACTAACGTATTACTGAATCTCTGAGCTCAATAATTTACACTCAGCTCAATTTGGCTTTTACACATTGGGCACAGATACAAGTGCAATAACTTTTCATGCTACCTTTGCAAGGAGTTGTTTTTGAAAGAAAAATGCTCTGATTTTTTAAAAGAAAGCCCTGTACAACTTACCATTAATATATCTTCGGTCCTATTGGTAATCCGATGAATGATATTAAACATCTGAAAACATCTATAACAAAAAAGTTAAAAGGCTAAGCATATAAAATTGTGCTAGTGCGATGAGCACTCCCAATTGCAAACCCATGCCTGAATAACATGTATTTACTGGCTTTGCTGCAACACAGACTGAATCATCATAATTGTCCTTTCAGGCTTTAAAAACTATTAATTCAGTAGTGATTAAATGTAGAGCATGTATAGTGTAAAGCATTTACTAAGAATCTTTGTTTTCCTGTGTGTTAAGTTACTGACTATATTCATGTCCAACTAGGAAATCTTGCATGACTGGATTTTCTCTAAAGAGCCCGTGCTCTATGTAAATATTTTCAATCATCTGATTAAAAGGAAAACAAATTAATAAGGAAGATAACAAGGGATACATGTTCCATTTGCACACAAGTAAGAAGTGACTTCCAGATTTAAGAAATGAAAAACTATCTTCCCCTAAGGACATTTTTAAAAAGTAATAATTTTCTTAATGATTTTATGTGAAAATTTGATTAAATTACATAATGCAACCTTCAATTTTAACTATGTTTTCTACACTCACACAGTGCAAGCTTACAGATTCTACTTGTTTCAATGTATTCATAAAGGACTGGGGGGGGGGGCGGGAATTAAGGTTGTAACTTATAGATACTCACTCTTCTAAAGTCCTTTTCTTCCCCTTGTCAATCATTGTCATTCCATTATGGATTTGAAGATATTGTTTCTGAGCCAGAAGTTTCTTCATAGTAACAGAACTGATGGAGCCATTCAAGTGGGCATGGAGCTCCTAAGTTATAAACAAATCAAGAGGAGTGGAGGGTATATTTAATTTCAATTAGATTTCAGGGCTTTTTTTTTCTTTTATATTGTATTGCTATTTTATTAGGAGGTTGAAAAGAAAACATTTCCCTACCAATCCTGTCTCTGCATTTGGCAAATAATGACTTTTTTGACTTGGGTTTCTATATGCCAGTGCCCCAAATGAGATAGTCTTATTTACTTCTCATTGCGAGCATTCGCAGTGGTATCAGCAAGAATATAGGTGCCACTGTGAAGAGTGTTAAAGTCTCGGTTAATTACTGTAGTGGAACACCTTGGGGGTGTAGGGAAAACAAATCTTACTTTTTAAGATTTTAAAAATAATTTAGAACATGAGCACTATTCCTTATTCAATTTTATAACAGGTCAAATCTGGGCCTAAATTCTTTTTAATTAGACCAAAAAAGCAGCATTTTTTTCTACTCAGACATATTCTTTCTTTTCTCATACTCTTAAAAGCACATAAAAGCATAGTGAGCTCTCACTTCCCTCTATAAACAGAAAACAAAATTAGCAATTGAACTGTACTTCTTGCATTTAGAACTCACGACTTGTTCCAGCCTCTCTTGAACCCAGTCATCCTTTACTCAGCCAGGGCTTTGGAGCGGAGCCCAGAGCTGGAGCCCGGAGCAGCTCCGGAGCAGTGGAGCTGCAGGATTTTGCCTGGAGCTGGAGAGGAGCCGGAGCACAGCTCCAAAGCCCTGTCCTCAGCTCCCCACTTCATTAAGCATCGCCCTCATCTCTGTCCCTTCTCACAATCTTGCTGCCCGTCATTTGGAATAGTCTTCTTGTGTCGCTCCATCTTACTTCAAAATGTGTCTGCAAAATACCTAGCTTGTCCCACACATCTTCACTTTCCTGCCCCTCCCCTTTTGGCACCTGCTTTTATTAGAGCAAAAATTGGCAAAATGTTTTCACAAAATGCTTGATTGATAAATATGACGACATTTTTACTACTGCTATAAAACACTTTAAAACAATATCATAATATTAAATGTACAATAAAACAGAAGGGGTGATTGTCAGAAGTGCTGAGCAGCCACAAGTCCAATTAATGGGCGCTCTGGTACTTACCACTTCTGGAAATCAAGTCCAGAAACTCTAATTCTAATAAAAGGCATGGTTGTTCCACATACTATGCAATGAAATGCCTTGCAGAATTCATTATGAGAATCTGCCACCCACAAAAATACAAGACACTTTGCAAGGATGCCTTCGAAACATCTTTTTGCAATGGAAGCATCAAAATGTAGAGAAAGACAGTGTCAATAATATCTGTTTTGATCATGTACCTGTGCCAATTTTAATGAATAAACACTCAAATGGTAGACGTGAAATTTGTTGTATACAACTCCAGAATTGTTGAGCTGATAAGAGTTCCAGGAACGTATAGCAAACAACGATAGCAGGAACGTGCCAGACCACACCCTTTAGAATGCAGCAAAAACTGTTATCAGAAGCAGACTTATAGAGGTGGCCTCAGGAAAAAAAAAAAAAAAAAAAAAAAAAAAAAAAAAGAAATATGTTGAATTGATGTGCTTGCAAAATAAATCTACAGACCTTGAAAAAGAATTGTACGGAGTCAGGCTATACAAAAATTTTAAACATTTTATTGGTGGTTGAAATCAATTGAGTACTTTTGGACAAATAAACATGAGACAAGGGGTTGTATTACAGCTTGTTAGGAAGCCAGGAGCTATTTGCTTGAACCTTTTCCTTGAGAGATGGGCAGAAATTCCTTTTGTTCAAATACACTGCCAATAAAGACCTACAGCTGATCAATTTTGTCCTCATCCTCAAATTGCAATTATGCTTTTAGTAGCTATACAATTCATTCAATCTGTAGGCTGCAATTACAGGTGGTTCCTGTAAAAAGTGTCACAGCACACTATTACTAAAAATGCTTACTTTCTCATTTTACCATACAATTATAAATCAGTTGGAAAATAAATATTGTACTTACATTTCAGTGCATAGTATATAGAGCAATATAAACAAGACATTTTCTGTATGACATTTTAGTTTGTACTGACTTTGCTAGTGCTTTTTAAGTAGGCTGTTGTAAAAGGCTGTTGTGGGGGAGGGATAGCTCAGTGGTTTGAGCATTGGCCTGCTAAACCCAGGGTTGTGAGTTCAATCCTTGAGGGGGCCACTTAGGGATCTGGGGCAAAAATCAGTACTTGGTCCTGCTAGTGAAGGCAGGGGGCTGGACTCAATGACCTTTCAAGGTCCCTTCCAGTTCTAGGAGATGGGATATCTCCATTATTATTATTATTATTATTAAAACTAGGCAAATATCTAGATGAGTAAATGTACCACCCTCTGGAAGACCTCTGCACACCCCCAGGGGTACACACACCCCTGGTTGAGAACCACTGATGCAGAGGGTCCTACGGGGAAAAGGTGAAGGACGGGAACTGCTCACCCAGTAAAAGTGGCAGCAGAAGCGGCTCCACATCAGAGCTGCAATAGTTCACTTGGGTTAAAACACGCAGTGAGCATGGTCGACAGAGACCCCCCTGAGGATGCTGGTGCACAGAGGATATAGCACCATTGCGGGGGCTGAGCTCCTCTTGTCCCACCCCAATTCTGTTGCAACCAGAGGCAAGGAGGGCAGATTTACTCCTACAGGCACAAGAGTTGACAGAGTGAAGCAGACTATATATAGTCTGAATAAAGATGGAAAACACTCACATTGCAGAAGAATTGAATTGTCAATGTGAGTGAGTCTTTTTTTCTTTCTTTCTTAAAGGCAGTACAACTAGCCCCATCTTTAAAGAAAAGTGTTCAGTGCAACGTGACAGCCTAGGTTCGGGGGGGGGGGGGGGGGGGGGGGGGGGAGGGGAAAAAAAAGGGGGGGAAACGATGGAAGCCAAAAAAGGCTGCAGCCCTTAATCTGTCTTCTCGATTGCAATCTCTCTACAGAGCTCCCAGCACAAGAGCCAAAAGGTGCTGGCTGATTTTCTGGGGTGCCTGCGTCTCCTCAAACGTAGGTGCTTTACAAATGAGGAGAGTTTACATGAGCTGGGCTACTGCCCTAGCCACTCTGCGGATGAACTCTCACTGCCCCCCCGAAGAAAGGTGAATTGCAGCCCCAGCCCGGCGTACCATTGAATGCTGTCAAACCCTATTCCCTGCCGGGCAAGTGGGGAGGGACAGAAAAGATGCATAATGCAGAACAGACATCTGGGCTGCTGGGCTCCACTGCACACAGCACAGCGCATTCCCCAGCTAGGGCAGCGAGTGGGCAGTGCTGGAGTGACTCCGGCAGCTGCAGGGAATAACCAGCCCAGCCCCTGGGAACGTGGAGCAAGGGGAGGTGGCCCGGCACCCGGGGGAGGAACGCCCGGCGCTGGGGACCTGACGCCGCTCTCACCACTTTAGGAAGCTCCCTGTAAAAGCGCAGCTGCCGCTCTTGGTCCGCGCCGGACGCCATAGTGTGTCTGCGAGGCACAGGGAAGGACGTCACATGGCAGCGTCACTGCTGCAGACGCCACCGCTCTTCCCCCCGCCCGCGTCGGGCCCCTGGGCAGCGCGCGCATCCCAGCCCTCAGCTGCTTTCCACAAGTGTCCAGCCCCCTCCTCCTCCAGACGGCCGACAGCAGCAGGCTTCTCCCTGCGGCTCCTGCACCTGGGCTGGGGTTGGCTGGGCCTTTGGCACTATGTCGATTTGCTTTGTAGCCAATATACCAGGCACTGGAATTAACTGAGCTCCTCCCCTGAGAGAGGTACAGGCTGCTGGGCATGATTGTTTACATCCCTAACAGGTCTGTGCTACACAACACCCTACTGCTCCATGAGGATGAGGAGACAGATTAGAGCTTAGGGTTACCATATATCCTCTTTTCCCCCGGACATGTCCGGCTTTTCGGCACTCAAACCCCCATCTAGGGGGAATTGCCAAAAAGCCGAATATGTCCGGGAAAATGGCGGCTCTGCTCCTCCCCTGACTCTTCGGCTCTAAGAGCTGAGCTGCCCGAGCGCTATGGGCTTCAGGCAGCCCCCTTGCCTCCGGACCCCAGCCGCCGGCTGGGCACTTCCCCTCCCG